GGTGGTGGTGGTGGTAGTAGTAGTAGTGGTAGTAGTAGTTTACTACTGCTACCACTATTACTACGATCACTACTACTACTACTACGACGACTACTACGACTACTACGACTACTACTGCTACTACTACCACCACCACCACCACCACTACTACTACCACTACTACTACTGCTGCTGCTGCTACTACTACTACTACTACTAATTACTGCTACTATTACTAGTACAATTACTAGTACTAGGCACTACCACTGCGCCCCTACTTCTAGGAGCTTATCGCAGGCGGTCAGTGTCACCGTCACCAACAGCGTGGCCTTCGAGTCAAACGAGGCCTTGCGCTGCGCAAAGTGCTCGGACATTGCATGTGTTGAGTGATGCATCCCGGGTGCGCATTCAGAGGTTGACAGTCGAGTTTTTTTTACCAGCACGGCATTTCGACGATATGTTTTGGCCTTTATTTGGGGTCCGTCTGGGTGTCGGACACCTGCCTCTGGGTCTGTGTGAGATGCGTCTGTCTGGAACTCGGAGACTTGCCCTTCTTTCTTTGTCCCTTGTCCTGGATGAGGCTGGATTCGAGTTTTGGAGATCTTCCTGGTTCTTCCCTTCGTGTCCGTGTCGGCTGGTGTCACCGACACACAATATGTTTTCGGGTTTTGCCCAAAGCCCGAGCTTCTTCATGTCCTGGTTTCAAGTCTGGTGCGAGAGGGGGCATACATTCGGATTGATGCCTCCTAAATCAGCCAACAAGTTTTGCGGCGGCAGTCTAGGACTTGGTGATCCTGAACGTTTCGAGTGCATGTTCAACTTGGACGATCGCATGCTGAATGCATGGGCCAAGCCCAAGGGGAAATTCGCGCCGATAGATTTGGAGAAGCGACGGTTCTGAGAGACTGCCGATGATTGCCGCGCAGAATGTTGGAAAGTAGTGGATGCATGCTTACAACTGCCAAGAGGGCGATGGTGCGATCTTCCGGAGTTTCCACCAGCGAGCCACCCCGCTTCTGCTCGACTCTCGTTGGGTCGACTTGACATCTACTCTTCTCGCTACCATTGAATTGTCATCGCTTCGTGCGGTAGACGAGAAGAACATCCAACTTAGAGCTCCGGCTCGCACTCGCAGCAGCCCGAAAGGAGTTCTACTTCGACCTCATCGACGAGAAGAACAATGCAACGCTGGCCGCGGCCATGCTTGTCATCCTTAGCAACGAGGACCGAGCCCCTGTTTGGAGCAGAAATCCTCGTCATCACTGCCCTGGCCTTTCATACGCTCGTGGCTCATGCCTCGAGGTGTTGCTTTTTCAAGGACGCGTGAGTTTCGATCGAAGCCACCACCATCCCTTCGTACTGGTAGGACCCGGGCGTGGTCCGGTTTCAAGAAGAGGAGGTGACGACGGTCGAGGAATTTCAGGCCGGACAGATGTACCAACACCACTTAGACTTACGGATTGCTGCTTACCCCTACGACGACCACAACTACTACTGCCACTAGCAGCACCAGTCCCACTACCACTACCACTACCACACTACCACTGCTGCAACTACTTCTTCTTCTACTTCTACTTCTACTACTACTACTACTACTACTACTACTCCTACTACTACACTACCACGGCTGCAACTACTACTACTACTACTACTATTTCTACTACTACTACTACTACTACTACTACTACTAC